GTCTACAGTTAACTCTAACCTGAACCAGAACTTAACTCACTCCATACCTCTAAACCTAACTAGTAAAATTAACCATTACTGGTCTATAGTTAACTCTAACCTGAACCAGAACTTAACTCACATCATACCTCTAAACCTAACTAGTAAAATTAACCATTACTGGTCTATAGTTAACACTAACCTGAACTTAACTCACTCCATACCTCTAAACCTAACTAGTAAAATTAACCATTAATGGTCTATAGTTAACTCTAACCTGAACCAGAACTTAACTCACTCCATACCTCTAAACCTAACTAGTAAAATTAACCATTAATGGTCTATAGTTAACTCTAACCTGAACCAGAATTTAATTCACTCCATACCTCTAAAGCTAACTAGTAAAGCACAGCAGAGCTGCAAACAAAGTCAGGACATTTAAGCGGTCCTCACACACACACACACACACACACAATAATACATAAAACAGGTGCAGCCCCCGTGTAAACCACGCCGCCTCTGCCCCTTGTAGAAAAGGACACATTCCAGTGGCGGGGGAAGCAATTATTCAATGTGAACACTTTTTTTTGTTCTGTATATACAAACAATATTGTGAAGGTTTTAAAACTGATTACTACAGAACAGCATTGCATTGACCAAATAAAAGAAATGACTCCAAAATTATGAGATCAGGGCCCATATTTATCACACTTCTTAGAATTACTCTGAAGAATGCTGCAGAGTGGACTTAAATGTAAAAAAATATTATTTTTTAAAAAGCTGAGAGTAAAAGTCCAATAAAAGTAAAAGTCCATTTTTGGAATAATGTCATCCAGGATAAGCAAAGTTTATCCCGGATGACATTATTACAAAAATGTTGTCACATTGTACTGATTGTCTGTAAATTACATAAAATATCCTCATTTGCATCATGAATACTGACAAAAATCTCACATATATTTTTCTGTCAGAGCCTGAGGTAATGTTAGCCCTGCTCCTCCTCTCCACTGTCCCCAGACAGGCAGTGTTCCTTCCACTGCCCAATGATATCCTCAGCTTACAGTTTGGGTTCAGATCAGGGAGGCTGTTCCTCCCAATCACCTTCTTCCAGATAACTCCATCACTGCCCACATGGGCATTGAAGTCACTCAGCAGAATGAGGGAGTCTCCAGATGGCACCCCTTCCAGGAAACCATCCAAGGACTACAAAAAGGGTAATCTGAACTGATGTTTGGTGCATAAGCACAAACAATTGGCAGAACCTTCCCTCCTGCAGCCCGAAGCCACAGAGAGGCAACCCTCTCATCTGCTGTAGTGAACTCTAACACTGAGGCACACAGCCGGGGGCTTGTGAGTATCCCCACACCCGCCCATCACCTCTCTCCCTGGGCAACTCTGGAGTCAGAGAGAGTCCAGCCCTTCTCCAGGAGCTGGGTTCCAGAGCCCAAACTGTGAGTTGATGTGAATCCAACTATAGCTGGTAACGCTCAACCTCACCCACAAGCTCTGGCTCCTTACCCCTGAGTGAGGTTAGTTCCACATCCCTGGAGTCAGTCTTTGTCAACAGGAATCAACATGGCCAGGGACCGTCTTTCGCCTGCTGCCCGGCATACAATGTACCTGACCTTGATGGTCCTCCCTGTGGATGGTGGGTCCTCCTGTAGTCCTTTCAGGCTTCGCCTGGCTGAGCCCCAGGAACCAAGGCTCGACCACCAGGCACTCACAGGCGAGCTCCCCTAGGCCTGGCTCCAGGGAGGTGCCCTGGTTTCCCTATTCCTGGTGAGGTTTCCTGATGTGGTTGTTGTTTTGTCATCAAGGGGTCTGAATCGCTCTTTGTCTGACCCCTCCACCACGTTAGGGTGGCGGTTCTGTGGAGGGGATTTCTATTTCTATTTTGATCTATTTTACATTTTGTCACAAAATTTCGAAAGTCATATTTGTTTTATTTTTAACAGGAATGATGAAAGCTCCATGTGCTTCACTGATTCAGCTTCCAGATGTTGAAATCTGACAAATAATACAGATCAATAAATTAAATGTTCTAAATATTAGTGATTTTTCTAAAAATACAGTTCAGTTTGTTGTTGATGCTTAAATTTGATCTAATGCATGTTTTAACGAGAGCTGAAATAGTAGAAATACCCTTTCTTATGTGATTCTACAAAGAAATCTGAGGCAGCATCCACCAGATGGCCAGAAAGAAATATGATTCTCCACGTCTGGATTATTTGCTGCCACCTGTTGGAGTTGTTGACCAAGCTGAATGTCCTGAACAAGAGGAGTTAGCTCAGCGTCTTCTTGTTTATTACCCCAGTGTTGCATTTTAACGATGATCTGACATTGTGTTTGTCTGTGTCTCTTTCCTGTCCTCCAAGCAGCCGGTCGAGGCAGATGGTCTCCTGTCCTGGACCAGTCCTGGACCAGTCCTGGACCAGTTCTTCTGTGTTTGTCTGTGTCTCTTTCCTGTCCTCCAAGCAGCCGGTCGAGGCAGATGGTCTCCTGTCCTGAGCCTGGTTCTGCTGGAGGTTTCTTCCTGATTAGCAGGGAGTTTTTCCTCTCCACCGTTTGCTCAGGATGGGAGACTGTGATGAAGTGATTCAACACAATCTGCTGACTTCTTCTTTACATTGTTCTTTTTATCTACAGTGTCCTGAGACAACGTATGCTGGGACTTGGAGCTGTAGAAATAAACTGAACTTGAACTTGAACATTCAGGCGAACACAGTAAACTACCTGGTGAGGTGTTTCAGGCACATCCCACTGGGAGGAGACCCAGAGAAACTGCTAGACTTTACAAAACAAATCTAGACAAAACATAAACTACAGAATCTTAACGCCAACCCTTTTTTCATTTTAGATAACCAGCAAAATATGATAAACTTAGCAAATATCTTTGTTCTGTTGAAAAGTAAAGCAAATTAGTTTTAGAAACAGTTTTTTTGGTGCATTTTCTGACTTGGTTTGTGAGGATTGTTTAGCCACTCTTGTTAAAGGGACATCAAATAGTGTTTCGAAATTGTTTATTATATTTCTGATGAGGTGGTTCTATTGTTGAAATGTAATCATTTTGATATTATTCTTGTTAGTCTTTTCAATGCAGAATCACTACCACCCCTACTTTAAATATTATTGTGTGAATGCCAGAAGTTTGAACTGTAGAAAGTCAGGGATTATACACAGATTATAAAAAAGAAAACTGCAGGTGAGGCTTTGGCCACAGACTCTGTTATATTTGAACGTTGACTCCACCTCCTGTAACTATCAGTATGAGGTAATCTGATGAGCTGCACCCTCCCAGGGTTCAGTTAGTCACATGACTCTTATCCACATCCTCTTTATCAGGGAAGTACTGCACATCCTGAGTACATCTTCCAGGGTGTTTCTTCTAGATCTGTTCCAGCTTTACAAATAATCAGCCAGCTTTGTGAGGGAAATGTCACGAATATATGATGCATCAATTCATTATACATGTAACATCTATTTCCTCTTCCTCCTCTTGATTTACTTCCCTTAGCAGTGAAAAAGTGACACACAAATCTGCCATATTGTGTTGGAGTGCATGTGAGGAAGAACAACTGCTCAATGATTGGTTGAGCTTTTTAAATGCTGCTGAGAAAGCATTTATCACCAAAACACCAACTTTATTACTTAAATAAGTGAAATTCAGTGAATAAGAGTTTGTTTGTTTGTTTGTTTGTTTGTTTGTTTGTTTGTTTGTTTGTTTGTTTGTTTGTTTGTTTGTTTGTTTGTTTGTTGGCACAGCACTGTATTTAACCATTTGTAAGAAAAAATCTCTTTATCTCTAGATGACTGGATAAATCTTTTTGACATAAAAAGTTTAAATTGAAGTTGTAAGTTTTTTTTGTTTGTTTGTTTGTTTGTTTGTTTGTTTGTTTGTTTGTTTGTTTGTTTGTTTGTTTGTTTGTTTGTTTAAGAATGCACATTGCCTGCTGCTTTTCATGCCAGAGCTTCTGGCTAAAACCATTTCTGTTGAGAAATGATGGAGTTATAGTTGATTTGGTCAAACTTTGTTTTGTTGTTATTTGATTATGATCAAAATATTTGGCCTTGTGAAATGTGTTGGTGCTCAAATTATGTGTTGAGGATCACTGTCAGCTACTACCATTGCCAGATTAAAGCTCAGTATCTGGTTTGAGTTATATTTTTGTGTTTGCTGAGATGACTTGGCTGTGGCAGCCCACTGGCTTTGATGAGAGGTAACATTGAAGAGATTAAACATTAAGACAATTAACACAAACCAATTACAAAGACAGAAAATGTTTATTAAAAAAAGGTCAATTGTCAGGATTTTAACCCTCCTGGACTTTCTGGAATCTGTAAGATCAGAACCTCAGTCATCATTTTTACATTATTATCTGTTGTTTTTAATCAGCTGCAGGGATTTTTAACTGTCACCAACACTTGTGAAATATTTCAGTCAGGTTTTAAAGCAGGTCACAGCACAGAGACGGCCCTTTTAACAGTTTTAATGATCTTCTTTTAACAGTTGATTCAGGAGGCTCTGCTGTTTTACTGCTTTTAGACCTCTCTGCTGCCTTTGGTACTGTGGACCAGAACATGTTGTCACGTCTTCAGCAGCTGGTTGGTATCAAAGGCACAGTTTTATCTTGGTTTAAATCATATTTAACTAACAGGAGTTTTTCTGTTCACCTTGGTGAATGCTCTTCAGCAGCTCCTCTGACTTGTGGGGTCCCCCAAGGGTCCATCTTAGGTCCACTTCTTTTTAATCTTTTTATGTTGCCTTTGGGGTCCATTTTCAGAAAGCAGAAAATTTTCAGAAAACATCACTCTTCACTGCTTTGCTGATGATATCCTGGTCTATATGCCCATTAAGTTGAACAGGAACACTCCACTGGAACCACTCTTCAGCTGTCTGAATGATATAAAAACCTGACTAAAACTAAACTTTCTGAATCTAAATGAGAGTAAAACGGAAGCAATCACTTTTGGTAAAGTAAATTCAGATGACATTGGCCCTTTATTTTCATACATCCATTCTACTGTCAAGAATCTGGGTTTTCTCTTTGACGGTGTCTTTAAATTAGATAAACAGATTAATTTGGTTGTAAAGTCAAGTTTTTTCCAATTAAGACTAATTGCTAAGGTGAAATAATATCTCCCCACTAAAGACCTTGAAAAGGTGATTCATGCTTTTATTACCACTCTTTTGGACTATTGTAAATCTTTGTATGCTGACTTAGATAAATCATCTCTGCATGGCCTACAGACTGTCCAGAACGCAGCAGCTCATCTTTTAACAGGTACTGTACCGGTCCGTCGTGGTGAAGAGAGAGCTGAGTCAGAAAGCGAAGCTCTCGATTTACC